CCCCCCCCCCCCCCCCCCCACTCTTTTCTAGATCAATTGTAGAGTATAGACTAAGTTAGTGGCATACAATCAGCAAAATATTATAACCAAGAAGTACCATACCTGCAAGATGAGGGGCAGCAGGTCGAATAGCTTTCTTCAAAGAATCAGGCTTGTGCTGTCATGATGAAGGGTAAAATGGTCATTTTCTCCCTAATCTCTCTTTCGGATGTTCAAGAATGTATAAGAGATGAATGGACCCTATTTTCCCTCAAGAACCATCTGAATTTGTTATGATTCTATTAATAAGTGTCAAGTCCAACAAGCGTAACTAGTTTTTTGGAACTGCCAAGAGCCAATCAGCTGGCTCCAATTGACTGGCATCAATAGCAAGTTGACTTGGCTTTGGACAACATTACTGAATTGAAGAATAGGCCAGTCTTGACCCAAGTAAGAGTGCCTAACCTAAAAATATGACCTAATAAGCGTGGATGTTACTTCCTTTGAGCTTGGATTCATATGGTTGTTAAATTTGTCCTCGTCTTGCCTTGATTTGACTTCTTCTTCACTTGAAGCTCATTGAATCCTCCAATACTCGTCGAGGCTTGCACTCGCGCTCCAAATTATGTCTTTGTCAATGTACAATTTCGAGCTGTGGTACAAGTCATGAAGCTGGCAACCTAGAACTCCAGCCCTAACAGAGCCTTGTTTGTGGTTATTTTTGAAGGCTTATTTGTTATTTGATTGTACATTGGACACATTCCTTTTTTGGTCCTCTTTCATATATTCAGTCACACAAAATATATATATCCAGTTTTAGCCCATGGCTTGTTGTTTGTCTTGGCTTATGCCATCTTGCAGTTCATGGGGAGCCATTGCTGGGCGTTATCAGAGTCTGCTACAATATTGCTCTAAACAGGTAACATGCACTAGTTTCTAAAGGTTGAGATCATATCAACCTCAAGTGGATCTGATAAGATTTGGTTTCAATGTTAAGCAAGAGCTCAATAAACCAAGCAACATCAAAGGCAATGTTGACCCAGATGATCAGCATCGTATTCAGGCGGATGCAAACTGATCTGGTGTGTAATCCAAAATCTTGTTTTTGAAAAGTTTGTCTCTGTTGTGACATGTGAGGAGATGGAAACAGTATACACGCTTTTCTGGAAAGTCAGTAATGTCTCCTAGGCAATACAGGTCTCTATGCCATCTGGTTTTGCTGCACAAGAAGTTGCTTCAGAAAATGGTTCCAACTTGAAGGTTGAAGAGACTTCATCAGGTGATCAGAATGAGAAAGGAATGATGTTTGGAGATGCACTTTCTGTGAATATAGTCAAAGATGCATCTCTTGCATCCGTCGAGGAACTGCAAAATCTTGCTGGTGGGGCTGATATAAAGGTGCTTTCTTGCTTATTGTTTCCATATGTATGCGTACATTAGTTATGCAGTTTCCGCTGCTATCATCTAGTAGGTTTACCAAGTATTCCTATTTGATCATGGTTTTTGGAAGCTGTAACTAGACCTTGCTATCTGTTCTCTGTCAATTATGAGATGGTAACTCTTTTGTGTTGAATAGGGTTTGGAGGCCGTTCTTGACAAAGCTGTTCATCTCGAAGATGGTGAAAAAACCATAAGGTATGGATACAGTGCTAAAGCTGAGATTCTTATAGTGTTGATGTATCTATGTGGAATACAATGATATCTTCATAATTTTTGGATAATGGCAATTTTATCTCCTCATCACTTTTAAGAGGGATTGATCTTGAGGGCATGAGCATTGGACAACGTGATGCTTTACTTCTTTTCCGCACCCTCTGCAAGGTTTGTTTTTTCAGTAAACTACATTATTTTTGTTTAACTTTTTCGAAGTATGCCTGTTCGATTTTTTAAAGAATATTTTTGCAGATGGGTATGAAGGAAGAGAATGATGAAGTTACCACCAAGACACGTATCTTATCTCTTGAGCTTCTGCAGGTTAATTCAAGGAATTTATCATTGTACTTGTATAGTTGGTTTATATGTTAGATGCACAACTGTTGTCTATTTTGTTTAACATTCTTGGGTTGGCTAACCTGAAATCTTTGTTTACTAAGGGCCACATTGTTTTTTTTTTTGGGGGGGAGGTGGGGGGTAAATTCAAGGGCTACATTGTTGTTAAATTCTGGGCCGTTTTCATTTTTTTTTTTTGTTGTTTTTAATTGATGTATGCATTCCACTGATTATCTTACACTAATATTCATATAAATGTGCGCACACGTGTTTCATCTTAATTGATTCTTAATATTGAATTACTACGATTTATTTATTGTAACATTAATACAACTCAACGTAACCTTATCCCAACATTTTTGGGGTTGGGAACATTAATCCATATTGTTAATAATTTCCTGCAACATCATCCATATTGCTATTAAGTTTCTGAATGATGTTTACGTTGGGCATAATGGATAATGTATCTTTTAAGGTTTTGAATAATGTATACATCTCCATGCCAATTTGGTTTTTTTTTTTTTTTTTGGGGAAAATGTACAAAATTTTAGCTTCTTTCCAGGATTAGATGAAAGGAACAGATATGTTCATTTAACGGTTGTTCTAGGTCAGCAAAAGAGAATAAGAAATAGTAGTAACTGTTTCAAGCATCGAAGCACTTTTTCCTTCTCCATGGTAACTTGCTGCTCGCGTTTTAGGATTTCTCATAGTCTGAGAAATGGCACTTGCAGGGTTTATTGGAAGGTGTTGGTCACTCATTTACAAAGAATTTCCATTTTATTGACTCAGTGAAAGCTTACCTTTCCTATGCACTATTGCGAGCCTCAGTTTCTCAAGCGACTGTCATATTTCAGGTCTGGTGTGATGCTTCATTTTCCTTTCATTTTTGCATCTTATGTTAGGAGAATTTGCCACATGAATCTTGATTCTGCATTCCTTTTTTGGCAGTACGCAGCAGGAATATTCTCAGTGCTTTTGTTGCGGTTCAGGGAAAGTCTGAAAGTACGAGTAAATTTTGACAGTTCATGTTGCTACTCCTCAGGGTTAAGATATTTGGTTTTTACCTTCTCATTCTGGTGTCTCTGCTAGGGTGAAATTGGTGTCTTCTTTCCCTTGATTGTGCTCCGATCATTGGATGGCTCTAACCTTAACCAAAAATTAAGTGTTCTTCGGTATGATGTATTTTTCCTAATGATTGTAATGTTTCATTTTCACATTTTACTACCATTGAGTTGTTGAGTTGTTTTCCTTAGATTGAACTTCAAAAAATAAGGACAAAGGAGCTGGTCCACATAATTATACTTACCAAAGCTTCTAAAGCTTTTAAGTTCTTATGTCACACATTTAATGTTCTAGTGGTTTATATTTTCCCAGTAATCTTGATGAAAATCAATCTTTCAGGATGCTAGAGAAAGTCTGCAAGGAGTCTCAGATGCTTGTTGACCTATACGTCAACTATGATTGTGATATTGAGGCACCAAACTTGTTTGAACGCATGGTAAAACTATTATTTTCAATATACTTTTCTAAAGATATATTCAGTATCTACTAAGGTTCTCTGATCTTCACCTAAAACATCCATGTCTTCTGTCTTCGAATTTAGGTTACCACTTTGTCCAAAATAGCTCAAGGGATTCAAAGTCTGGACCTGAACTCCGTTACTGCATCCCAGATGGGATCAATTAAAGGATCGGCCCTTCAGGTATATTTATTTGGTGACTGTTTTTAACTTTCACATTTCATAGTTAGTAATTGGGGCTTTGAGGAATTTGTTTTCCACTTGGTTTATAAGAAATATCAGGTTTAAAACAGTGGTTGACTTGTGCTCCTTGACCTTTCTAGTGTCTTGTGAACGTGCTAAAATCACTAGTTGATTGGGAGAAGTCTCGTAGGGCAGCAGAAAAGCAGAGTAAAGGCNGATGAAAGGAACAGATATGTTCATTTAACGGTTGTTCTAGGTCAGCAAAAGAGAATAAGAAATAGTAGTAACTGTTTCAAGCATCGAAGCACTTTTTCCTTCTCCATGGTAACTTGCTGCTCGCGTTTTAGGATTTCTCATAGTCTGAGAAATGGCACTTGCAGGGTTTATTGGAAGGTGTTGGTCACTCATTTACAAAGAATTTCCATTTTATTGACTCAGTGAAAGCTTACCTTTCCTATGCACTATTGCGAGCCTCAGTTTCTCAAGCGACTGTCATATTTCAGGTCTGGTGTGATGCTTCATTTTCCTTTCATTTTTGCATCTTATGTTAGGAGAATTTGCCACATGAATCTTGATTCTGCATTCCTTTTTTGGCAGTACGCAGCAGGAATATTCTCAGTGCTTTTGTTGCGGTTCAGGGAAAGTCTGAAAGTACGAGTAAATTTTGACAGTTCATGTTGCTACTCCTCAGGGTTAAGATATTTGGTTTTTACCTTCTCATTCTGGTGTCTCTGCTAGGGTGAAATTGGTGTCTTCTTTCCCTTGATTGTGCTCCGATCATTGGATGGCTCTAACCTTAACCAAAAATTAAGTGTTCTTCGGTATGATGTATTTTTCCTAATGATTGTAATGTTTCATTTTCACATTTTACTACCATTGAGTTGTTGAGTTGTTTTCCTTAGATTGAACTTCAAAAAATAAGGACAAAGGAGCTGGTCCACATAATTATACTTACCAAAGCTTCTAAAGCTTTTAAGTTCTTATGTCACACATTTAATGTTCTAGTGGTTTATATTTTCCCAGTAATCTTGATGAAAATCAATCTTTCAGGATGCTAGAGAAAGTCTGCAAGGAGTCTCAGATGCTTGTTGACCTATACGTCAACTATGATTGTGATATTGAGGCACCAAACTTGTTTGAACGCATGGTAAAACTATTATTTTCAATATACTTTTCTAAAGATATATTCAGTATCTACTAAGGTTCTCTGATCTTCACCTAAAACATCCATGTCTTCTGTCTTCGAATTTAGGTTACCACTTTGTCCAAAATAGCTCAAGGGATTCAAAGTCTGGACCTGAACTCCGTTACTGCATCCCAGATGGGATCAATTAAAGGATCGGCCCTTCAGGTATATTTATTTGGTGACTGTTTTTAACTTTCACATTTCATAGTTAGTAATTGGGGCTTTGAGGAATTTGTTTTCCACTTGGTTTATAAGAAATATCAGGTTTAAAACAGTGGTTGACTTGTGCTCCTTGACCTTTCTAGTGTCTTGTGAACGTGCTAAAATCACTAGTTGATTGGGAGAAGTCTCGTAGGGCAGCAGAAAAGCAGAGTAAAGGCAAACAGGCCGAGCAGTCTTTTGAAGAAGAAATTTCAGCTAGAGACTCTACTGGGATAAAACTCAAGGAAGATTTACCCAATAACTTTGAGAAGGTGAAGGCTCATAAGTCCACTATGGAAGCTGCTATCTCTGAGGTAATGATTAAAATTTAACTACACTGCCTAAAAGCTAAAACCATAGTTCGATATCTGCAAGTGAAAGCTAGAAGAAAATTCAGAATACTTCTCAAATTTTTATTTTATTATTTGGTCCTAATACGTCTCAAAATTATGATATTACAAGCAAGGATAAAAATTTCGATTCTAAATGGTGGAAACATTTGAAATGTTTTCATTTTCAAGGTGACCGAAACGAATCAGTGATGGAATCGAAATTCTAATACTTCAAGGTGTTCCATAATGTTTTAAAATTTTTTGTTTTATTTCAATGCATTTGCACAATTTTTTCGGAATATTTCAATGTATTCTAAGATATTTTGTTATATTAGACCAATTTTTTGAAAAAAAAATTTAAATTTTTTAATTTTTTTCATTCTATTTCCGAAATGGATTAAAAGGTTTTTGAAACATGTCGAAACGATTCCGTTTCCTAGGTGACCAAAACAATCTACCGAAACAAAATTTTGATCCTTGATATTTACAACTATGTTCTTTTCTTTGAAAGTCCGCAGCCTGCCATATGGGACTGAATTGTGTTTCAAATATTTTTCAGTTCAACCGGCACCCAGGAAAGGGTACCGAGTATCTAATATCAAGTGGGTTGGTGGAGAACACACCAGCTTCAGTTGCTCAATTTCTGAGGAATACTCCTACTTTAGACAAGGTAGAAGTTCAAGTTGGGTGAAGATGTGGTTTACATTGAAATGTATTTGTGTAACCCTTTTCCTTTCCAGGCTGTGATTGGTGACTACTTGGGCCAGCATGAGGAGTTTCCGCTTGCTGTTATGCATGCTTATGTTGATTCTATGAAGTTTTCTGGAATGAAGTTTGATAGTGCAATCCGTGAATTCCTTAGGGGATTCCGGCTTCCAGGGGAAGCTCAGAAGATAGATCGCATTATGGAAAAGTTTGCAGAGCGGTAGGTGACTGCATGTGTGTGCTTTTGTGTACGTATGTGTAAACAAAGTTTCTGGAATCTGGATTTTGATTATACCCCCACAGTTGTGTTTCTATGACTGATAGTCCAAAACATGGTACTCTCTCATTGTAGAAACAGAATAGCAACCTAGAAAAGTCCTTTTCATTGCTTCCGTTGATTATTGTAAGACAAAATGCAAAAGCAATGTATATTTATGAAAGGAAAGAACAAATTTTGGAGGGGATAAATAGAATGTAAGGTCCATAACGGACCGCGACCTCAGCGATTGTAGAATGAACCTAGTCTAGGCTGTCAATGAGTTGGCTCAATATTTGAACTTGATATGCATTTGGACCAGCTAAACCTTATACAATTCAGCTCCCTTGGTTTGAAATTGAATCTCACTTACGAAATCCAACAATTACTGGATCAAGCCAGATGTATATAAGCTTGATTAACAGCCAGGTATTGGCTTAAGTGGTATCTCCTTATCGGTTTGCTTTTGAGTGCTGAATGGTACATGGGTCTTGATATTATCTATAATAGAAAACGTTAAGTTAATTAAAGAAGTTAAGTTTTCAAATCTTGATACAATTACTTAATCCGAATTGACATACCTCCAAAAGTAGTTTGTCACATCAGTATTTTGGAGGTGCTGTAACTTAAACGCTTCTTACTTCAACTCCTGTTGTGCCATATTTTTTTTTTTGTGGGGCATGCCAAGTGTTAATCCCTATTTGGCTTCCGTGTACTGGAGAAATTCATGTGTTATTGAGACACTAATATTGCTAATGTAAAGGAGTCAGAAATGGAGCAGCTAAGGCACCTTTACCAGAAAAGACAGGTAAAAATACAGCATGTAAGGAATCCCCTTTTAACTGAGAACTGTCAAATATAAAAAGCTCTGATCTCTCACCAAGCCATAGTTATCACTGAAATAGGGACAACGGTTTGCGCTCTTTTTAGCAAGACAATGAGCCTTGTCACTGGCTGATCTGAAAATCAGAATCATCTCAAATATTAAAGAGCATGTTGGCACCTAATTCTTGCCACCACATAACCTCTTACGCTTGACTACGCTTTCACATATTTGATATCACTTTTATGCTTTTTTTTTTCTGCTAGTTAGCACGGTAACTTTCTTGCATTTTATTGACTAGCATTATTGCACTTACTATAGAGGCTCATTTTCTGTAAGCTGGTATCTTCAGCTGTCCCTTACTTAAACCAAGGCCTCATAATGAGTTCCTTACAACATGTTAAGCAGTTATATAATGGCTTGAGGCTGCACCGTTTTACCTTTGTATACAGTTCCAGGCAACAGTGGGAGGAAATCTTTTAACAGGCCTCAGCGGACTGTATCAAGCAACATCTATCAAGCAACATCTTGGATGGACATTTTCTGACTTACACTCCAATTTTTTAATAGATTCTCTTTCACTGGTGTCTTTGTGTGGACTTAGCATCAATATTTAATCAAGCTTTATCTTGGGACAAAGTAATGTGTGAATCTTATGCAGTCTGTCACATTTTAGTGTAGCTAGCTGGTTTTTATATTTGAATTGCTGATTGTGCACCTGGGAATCCAGTAGAGTGCTGGGTAGCATTACCATCTTGTTGCAAGCTTTGAGAAATAACTATGTCACTGTTTTGTTACAAATGCATTGCTCATATAGATGCCATCATTTGATCAGGTTGATTTTGAGACAGAAACTATACTTGAGAACCCTAGTCATCCAGAATTAGAAGTGTTAAGATAATAAGCCATTTGTTATTGATGGGTAGTAGTTAAGACTTAAATCTGTTGCATATTTGGCAGTTATTGTGCAGACAATCCTGGTCTCTTCAAGAATGCAGATGTGGCGTATGTCCTTGCATATGCCGTTATAATGTTAAATACTGATGCTCATAATCCAATGGTATGGCCTAAAATGTCCAAGGCTGATTTTACGCGCATGAATTCCACGAGTGATGCTGAAGAGTGTGCTCCTAGGGAACTCTTGGAGGAGATATATGATTCTATCGTTAAAGAAGAGATAAAAATGAAAGATGATCCTGCTGGTCTTGGAAAAAACAGCAAACAAAAGCCAGAAGCAGAGGAGCAAGGCCGCCTCGTCAGTATTCTTAATCTGGCTCTCCCCAAGAGGATATCTTTAACAGACACCAAGTCTGAGAGTGAAGCTATTATTAAACGAACACAGGCTATTTTCCGGAATCAAGGAGCAAAGAGAGGTGTCTTTTATACCTCACATCGGATTGAACTTGTAAGGCCAATGGTTGAAGCTGTAGGATGGCCATTGCTTGCTACTTTTGCTGTTACCATGGAGGAAGGAGAAAATAAACCAAGGGTGGTCCTCTGCATGGAAGGATTTAGAGCAGGAATACACATTACACATGTCCTTGGAATGGATACCATGCGCTATGCTTTCTTGACATCTCTTATTAGGTAAGGTTATTTTTACTGGGCAGATAAGGTTCTTTTGTTCTTGCTTTCTTGTCGTCTTCTTTTTGTTATTGTCTATTATATGCATCTATTATTCAAGTTTTTTGTATTTTCCCTTGTAATATTGTTATTTACCTATTTTCAGTATCTAGTTCATAGATATTCGACCTTGTTGAAGTATAAACACTTAAGTTATACCGTCTCTACTAGCTTAAGTTTTTGAAATAGATGGTTGTTTAACATGGAATCAGAGCATGAGGTCTTGTGTTTGAATCTTGCTGCCACCCTAATTATTAAAAGATTTTCACGTGCATGACCCTAATCTAGCTTGCACATGAGGGAGCATATTGAAGTATAAATACTCAAATTACACTATTTCTAATAGTTCAAGCTTTTGGAGTAGATGGTTGTTTAACAAATCTTTTTTCTTGATATGTTTGAAAAGTATTACAATTATGCTTCTGAACTTGCATTGCAGATTTAATTTCTTACATGCACCAAAGGATATGCGTAGTAAAAATGTAGAAGCATTGCGGACTCTACTGGGTTTATGTGATTCAGAGACCGACGCTCTTCAAGACACATGGAATGCGGTTCTGGAGTGCATTTCTCGGCTTGAATATATCACTTCGACTCCTTCCATGGCTGCAACTGTCATGCAAGGATCAAACCAGATCTCCAGGGATGCTATTCTTCAATCTCTAAGAGAATTGGCTGGGAAACCAGCTGAACAAGTGTTTGTGAACAGTGTAAAATTACCTAGTGAATCTGTGGTGGAGTTCTTTACTGCTCTTTGTGGCGTGTCAGCTGAAGAACTGAAGCAGACTCCAGCTCGTGTTTTCAGCTTGCAAAAACTTGTTGAGATCAGCTATTACAATATGGCTCGTATACGTATGGTAATTCCTTATTCAAGTTCTGCTTGTGTATTTTTCCTGATAAATCATATTGTTGATCAATTTTTTTTGTTCTTAATTATATTGATTTTTTGATTTTTACTAGTGTAAATTTCATTAATATTAGACTTCATCATTCAGCTATAGACCCCAGACTTGCAACATCAACCTTAGTTGTAAACTTGTGCTAACACCAAGGTTGACTGTAAAATGTCGGGAACTAGAGTTTAACTATGAGAACTGATTGTGTGAAGCTTATGAGATTTTCTCCTTTTACGGCTGAAAAAGGGTTCTAAGATTTGTCTCCGTATAGAATTCTAATGAATGGCAAATGATCCACAAAATATCAAATCCCAATGAGACTGATTTAATTCCTCCTTTTTTTTTAATTTCTCCCTGCTTCCTGAAAACCAAACTGAAAAAATTCATTTGTGCTCATCACTTCAGTTGGATAACCCTCAAATAGCTTAAGGGAAGATCTTTAGGCAATTCAATGTTGTTTGCCTTTCTTGACATATATGGCGATAATTCAAGATCAAATGTATTATATGATCAATGTACCAATCAAGATATCCAGTATTATGTGTAGGAATAGGAAGGGACATTGTGATCAATCTGTCAAAAATCAACCGTAGTTGTAAATTTGTGCACGCCAAAAGGTTGACTGTAATATGCTGGGAACTAGAGTTTAACTATGAAGACTGATCATGTGAAGCCTATGAGATTTTCTCTTAACGGCTCTAGAAAAAGGATTCGAAGTTTTGTCTATGTAATTCTAGGCTAGCAGGGAAGTTGGGATGTGGGGGTGGGGGGGAGGGAATCTTTTATCCTTTGCTTTTTGGGAATAGGTGGGAAAACGATTAGATTGGTGGAAGATAACTTATATTTCTAGAGGGGTGGATTAACTTCGGTCTAATCAGTTTTGTCTAGCATACTGATTTATTTTCTCTCGCTCTTTAAAATGCTAGGGAAGATTGCAATGGGATTTGAGAAGATGATGATAATTTTTTTGTGAGAAGTGGTAAAGGGGAGAAAGATCATTTAGTCAATTGAAAGGTGGTGTCAAGAACAAAAACAAAAAGGGGTCTTTAGTGGGAAATTTGAAGGTAAGAAATGTAGCTTTAGTTGGTAAATGGCTATGGAGATTACCAATGGAACAAAATTCACTATGGTATTTGATAATTAAGAGCAAATATGGATTACAAGTCAATGGATGAGATGCTAATGGGGTAGACAAGGGAACTTATTGCTGCCTATGAAGTTTATTTCTCATGAACTTTTAGAGTTTTCACAAAATGTTACATTCATTGTGGGTAGTGGGAGAGAGTTTAGTTTTGAGAGGATGTTTGAATTGGGTCATCTTTTTCTTGTATGTTCTCACGTCTTTATCAATTATCTCATTTTCATGGGCGTTATATTGCATCGATATGTCATTGCTCTCATCAATCAGTCTCTTTGGATTTTGGATTCCGTAGGTATCTTGATGATATAGATACACTATGAAATTGGTGTCACTTCTTTGTTTAATTAATGACTTCCACTTGTGTCATGAATTGAGTGATAAAAGAAAATGGATACTTGGATTTTCTCATGTAAATCTGTCTTTGATAAGTTGATTGATGTCCTTTGTATCCTTTGTTTCTTCCTTCTGTATGATTTGGAAGGCTAAATTGCCTAGTAAGGTACAAGTTTATGCATGGATTATAGCTCATGATAGGATTAATACAAATGATATGATTCAAAGAAGATCATTTCTTTTCATTTCTCCACAGTGATGTGTCCTCGTGCTTGTGAGAGTATTGATCTTTTTTTTGCATTGCCTCATTGCAATGTTTTTGTAGTCTAAGTTATTTCAATTCGTAGGTTTGATTTGGGTGATTCTTGAGACTTTTTCTTCAATTTTAGTGGAAGAATTTGAGGGATTTGATAAGCATTGGAAAGGGGTGATCCTTTGACATTGTGTAATTTTCGCCACAATATGGGGTTATTTGTGAAAAGAAACTCAAGGATATTTGAGGATAGAGCTGAATGGAAGGAGGGTTTATGGAATTGGATTTATTTTTTAGCATCGTTGTGGGCTTTCGTTTCTAATGACTTTGATGGTGTTCCGCTCTTTTGTGTATTGGCGGATTAGAAGGCCTCATGCACACCCTAAATTTTATTATGATTTTTTTCCATTTCATGGTTGGAAAACATGTCCATCCTATTGTCTCTTGGATATATTATTTTTAAATCAATAAAATAGTACTGTCTCCTATCCAAAAAAAAAAAAAACTCAACTTTTTTTTTCTTTCTCGCTTCATGAAAACTGAAAAAGAAAAGAAATCGTTCGTACTCGTAACCTGAGAAGCACGAGCACAAACACGAACACGGACACGATACGATATTTATTATATAATTTACCGCAAATATAGTGATAATAATAAATAATTCATGCAAGATTAAATATTTGATGATAGGTAAATCTTATGCTAGTCACCTTTGTGAATTTTTAGACTAAAACATCATCATTATAGTCAATAATCATTGATTTTTTTTTTTTAGACAAAATGTACCTAATATATAATTTAAATAATTGTCCTCCTTTTCTCAATTCCTCTTTTTCAGAACTTTTATGCATCTTTTATTTTTATTATTATGTTTGGAGTACAACTTTAACATGTCTAGTGTTTGTAATTATATGTTCTCAAATTTTTGAGCTTTGTTGATCATATTTCAACACATGTTTATTATTTAGTAGTAGGCACGTTCCAAATAAGTGCTGGACATGTCACCAAAGAAGTGTCAGACACGTATCTGAAATTAAAATTTTATTATTTAATTATGGACACGGATAAAAGAGTATCGGACATGTGTCCAAAGAGTATCCGACACGGATACGTCACCTCCTCGAGAGTGTTCGTGCTTCATAGTTTATAACTCAAGTTGGATAAATCTCAAATAGCTCAAAGGAAGGTTTTTAGGCGATTTAATGTTTGCCTCTTTCAACATAATGGCGATAATTCAAGATCAAATGTGTATATTATCGATGTACCAATCAAGATATCCAGCATTATGTGTAGGAATAGGGAGGGACATTGCGATTACTCTGTCAAGGTATTAAAACCGGTCGTCTAATTCTTCTTCTCTTCACTTATTGAAGAAATATCTGTCTAGATATTGATATTTTGTCAATCATAATGTTACATATTGATAATGTGTTTTAATTTTTTGTCTTGGAAAACTCAGCATGCTATTTTATTTTGGTTTAGAAAAACAGTTGATCCTTGTTTTCTCAATGTGAGTAGGAGATCAGAAGTAATCTTGATTGCATTTTTATCATCTAGGTGTATCTTTTTTGTGTTTAGCTATCTCATATTAGCTGTTTTTTGCTCATTGCTGATTTTTTAATATACTCTGAAAGCATTATCATGTTAAATGTGGCTGTTGTTTTCCTTATCAATATGATGAGGTTAGTTTTCAATCTTTTTTACAGAGTTACTAAGATTTTGTTTTTTAATTGAGGGAGCTTCTGTATTTATGTCAATATTCACTAGTTATAAACCTACCGTGTTTCCTCTCTTTTTAGAAGAAATTATGTGCGTATGTGCATTGAACAGGCATATATTGTGCCTATATCAGACTCAGTTCACAACTTTATCTATTGTGTAATTATGCTCTGGCCTACATTGCCCAGAAACGAAGTCTAACTGAACTCTGAATGAGTTATCTTCTTAAAAAGGGTCGTGCACATCCCTATATGCACTAAATTGCAGGGTCTTGTCAACAACATTGCATTTTGCAACATTTTAAATTTACTATTAATGCTTTTTTCAGGTATGGGCTAGAATATGGTCTGTCCTAGCTAATCATTTTATTTCTGCTGGGAGCCATCATGATGAGAAAATTGCGATGTACGCCATAGATTCTCTAAGGCAACTCGGGATGAAATATTTGGAACGTGCTGAACTTGCTAATTTCACATTCCAGAATGATATTTTGAAACCGTTTGTCATTCTTATGCGGAGCAGTCGAAGTGAATCTATAAGGAGGTTGATTGTTGATTGCATTGTTCAAGTATGTCTCCATGGGCAGCTTTTCTATCCGTGTGTGTACTTCTATTTGTTGATTTAGAAACCAACTAATTCTGATGCCAATTGCAGATGATAAAATCTAAAGTTGGAAGCATAAAGTCTGGCTGGCGAAGTGTGTTCATGATTTTCACAGCTGCTGCAGATGATGCACTGGAACCAATTGTTGAAAGTGCATTTGAGAATGTAGAACAGGGTTAGAACATATCTTGTTTGCTTCCTTCTTCCTCCTGTAATATTTGCTCCAGTGGTATATGCATAATCCTAACACCTCTGAAGTGTACAGTTATCTTGGAACACTTCGATCAGGTTGTTGGAGACTGCTTTATGGATTGCGTCAACTGTTTAATTGGATTTGCCAACAATAAAAGTTCTCACCGTATAAGTTTGAAGGCTATTGCCCTCCTTCGCATATGTGAGGATCGTCTTGCTGAGGTTTGTTTACCAGTATTCAGTTTTTTGGTTCATTTGAGAAACTCATGGCTAAATACTTGTTTTGTCAAAAATCAATTTCTCATATTCAGTATATTTTGGTTGCCACGTTCTCGTAGTTTTGCCCACTGATAAAAATCGATAGACTTAATTTGACAACAGGATGGTGAAGTCCATTCAGTGTTCTAAAGAAGTTTCTTTGAATGTTCATACGTTAGGATAAACAGGATTAGGAGTATATCTAGAACCTAGTTTTGTGACACTCTATTCAACAATCAGGCCCAGCGATCTTTCTTGTTCCTCTGTTCCTTTCCTATTCTAAATGGGTGAAAGGAGCAATATGTGATGATTGTTCTTCTGGGAAGTTTTGGGTTTTTGTTGTGAAGAGTGAAAATGGAGAGGCGTTGGTTTTCGCTTATTTTCAAAGCTATTTTTAGTGCGAATGAAATCATAGCGAGGAAATTATGAGGAGGATATAATTAGTAATGGGATTTTACTTGGTATCGTATGGCTGTGATTTATACTCGTGGCTGATGCTATATTCTCATGTTTTGCTCATGATCTTCAAAGAGATAATACAAGCAATGCATGAAGCATCTTGCTTCCTAAATACTAATTCATGTTTCCATCAAGGCTCTATTTGTCTTCATGGGAAGTAGTTTATAGATATAAATTCTATTGGGTTTTTTTTTTTTCAAGATTTTATTTAGTTAAAACGTAAGAGAATTGGGGTTTGAAAAGGAGAAAGAAGAAGAGAAGAGGAAAGAGAGAGAAAAGGAATAATTTGTGTATGGGCTAAGTTGCCATTAACTTTCATTATTTATAACCGAGTAATATTGGGGTAAGTACAATATTACATTACACTAATTAACTTAAATCTAATATAGAAAACAAGAACTTCAACACTCCTCTTCAAGCTGGAGCATAAAGATAAAAAATGCATAGCTTGGAATATAAACTACTGAAGGCAAACCGAGCCAATGCCTTGGTAAGTATGTTACCTAGTTGATCACTAGACTTGATATATGGAGGGATGATCTCCTTTTCGTATCAAAAGATTTCAAATGAATTGACAATCCATCTCAATGTGCTTGGTATGCTCATGAAATACCGGATTGCCTGTGATGAAAATAGCTACTTGGTTGTCACAATGCATCTTCATAGGGAAAGACACCTCAAGTCCTATGTCATGAAATAAAGAACAAACCATCATCTCACAAGCAGTATATGCCATAGCACGATACTCGGCCTCTATACTAGAACGTGCACCCACGTTCAACTTTTTTACTTTGCCAAGTAATAAGATTACCACCAACAAAGGTACAATAACAAGAAGTAGATCGTCTATCACCATGACTCCTTACCTAATCAGTATCAAGAAAACTAACAATAATTATGGATGATGATGAACGATATAATAATGCTTTTCCCAGAGCCCCTTTTAGATACCAAAGTATACGACAGACAATCTCTCAATAAGGCTTACGAGGGGCATTCATGAACTGACTAATAAGGTATGTAATATCAGAACGTGTAACTGTAAGATAAATCTATTTATCAACCAACCCATAGTTACTAGAATTCACTAAATTCTTGATGATCCATGATCTGAGTACATCAGTCCCAAATGGGGTGAGTTTGTTATTTAGATCACCAAAATGAATGATCCTAAATTGTACACGTAGCACAAATATAAAATATATATTAATTAACTATGTATATATAGATTTATAATTATATTATTTTAGATAATAGAAATCGAGCACAAATGTACAATAAATTGTAATTGACGTGGTGTTTACACATGTTCTAAGATATACAATATTGTATTGTAGTGAAAACGATCTAGATAAGAGTACTAAAAATGAATTAAGACTCAAAATACTGTAGCAATTAAGCCTACCCCAATTGTACCATGTATCTAAGAAAGTGTCGTACCGCATACTCTTACCTGTACCCATACTTGTATCACGTATCAAAGTGACCCACAATCTCAGTAACACTACCAACCTTCAATAACACCCTATATCATCAAAGACTTCACCACCCTCAGGATCTAACTTAAGTGTAGGGTCTATGGGCGTATCAATCAGACACGCACCAAGAGTACCAGTTTTAGATAGCAAGTCTAGGATATACNAGGAGAAAGAAGAAGAGAAGAGGAAAGAGAGAGAAAAGGAATAATTTGTGTATGGGCTAAGTTGCCATTAACTTTCATTATTTATAACCGAGTAATATTGGGGTAAGTACAATATTACATTACACTAATTAACTTAAATCTAATATAGAAAACAAGAACTTCAACACTCCTCTTCAAGCTGGAGCATAAAGATAAAAAATGCATAGCTTGGAATATAAACTACTGAAGGCAAACCGAGCCAATGCCTTGGTAAGTATGTTACCTAGTTGATCACTAGACTTGATATATGGAGGGATGATCTCCTTTTCGTATCAAAAGATTTCAAATGAATTGACAATCCATCTCAATGTGCTTGGTATGCTCATGAAATACCGGATTGCCTGTGATGAAAATAGCTACTTGGTTGTCACAATGCATCTTCATAGGGAAAGACACCTCAAGTCCTATGTCATGAAATAAAGAACAAACCATCATCTCACAAGCAGTATATGCCATAGCACGATACTCGGCCTCTATACTAGAACGTGCACCCACGTTCAACTTTTTTACTTTGCCAAGTAATAAGATTACCACCAACAAAGGTACAATAACAAGAAGTAGATCGTCTATCACCATGACTCCTTACCTAATCAGTATCAAGAAAACTAACAATAATTATGGATGATGATGAACGATATAATAATGCTTTTCCCAGAGCCCCTTTTAGATACCAAAGTATACGACAGACAATCTCTCAATAAGGCTTACGAGGGGCATTCATGAACTGACTAATAAGGTATGTAATATCAGAACGTGTAACTGTAAGATAAATCTATTTATCAACCAACCCATAGTTACTAGAATTCACTAAATTCTTGATGATCCATGATCTGAGTACATCAGTCCCAAATGGGGTGAGTTTGTTATTTAGATCACCAAAATGAATGATCCTAAATTGTACACGTAGCACAAATATAAAATATATATTAATTAACTATGTATATATAGATTTATAATTATATTATTTTAGATAATAGAAATCGAGCACAAATGTACAATAAATTGTAATTGACGTGGTGTTTACACATGTTCTAAGATATACAATATTGTATTGTAGTGAAAACGATCTAGATAAGAGTACTAAAAATGAATTAAGACTCAAAATACTGTAGCAATTAAGCCTACCCCAATTGTACCATGTATCTAAGAAAGTGTCGTACCGCATACTCTTACCTGTACCCATACTTGTATCACGTATCAAAGTGACCCACAATCTCAGTAACACTACCAACCTTCAATAACACCCTATATCATCAAAGACTTCACCACCCTCAGGATCTAACTTAAGTGTAGGGTCTATGGGCGTATCAATCAGACACGCACCAAGAGTACCAGTTTTAGATAGCAAGTCTAGGATATACTTTGTTTGGCACAAATTAATACCCTCATTTGATTGGACAACCTCAACCCCTAGGAAATACTGAAGATCTAAATCTTTGGTACAAAATTCCTTTCCCCAATATGTCTGGACAATACAATTTAGGTCATTACCACTTATGATGATGTCAACAACATACACAATAAAAATAATGATACCTGGAGAAGATTGACGAATAAAAATTGAATGATCAATGATCCGAGGTAGAGCGCTGAAAACCAAATTGAAGTATCATGGTACTGAACTTATCAAACCAAACACGTGGTGACTGTTTTAAACTATACAATGCTTTCTTTAAAAGACACACTAATTGTTTATATCTTGAAACAATATAACCTGAAATTTGAAATTTATGTATCTCCATTAGATCTCCGTGTAAGAAGACATTCTTTATGTCCAATTGATACAAGGGCCAGTTAGAGCTTACTGCAATAGAAACAAGAACTCAAATTGAGTTGAAACAAGAACTCAAATTGAGTTAAAACAAGCAACATGGGAGAAAGTCTTACGATAATCTGCACCATATAATTGGGTATAACCCCTAGCAACCAATCTTGCCTCAAACGCTCAACAGACCCATTAGGATAGTATTTCACAGTGTGGACCCAATGACCAAAAACATGCTGCTTACCAGTCGGAAGAGAAGGGAGATCCCAAGTAAGATTTTTAGCAAGTACCTTAATTTACTCATCCATAATCAGTTTTCATCTAGGAGATGTTAATGTCTACTGCAAAGAGCTAGAAACAAGTTCAAACGATAAAGCTAATGTAAAACAACGAAATGATGGGAAAAATTGATACAAAGAGACAAAATTAAAATGGGATGTTGAGTACAAGTACAAGTACTTTTCTGTAATACAATAGGAAAATCAAACGAGGATGACATAGTGGACGGCTCAGGATGAAGGACCCTAGTAGAATCCGGCGTTGGCCGGGGAGCTAGGGCACATGGAACTACCCGTCTGTTCGTGGAACGACAATAAACCAACAATGGAGGGAAAGTGACTAAGTGATAGGGAAAGTGACTCACAGACGGTAAACCGACATTGGAACACTGTAAAGACTTGGTTAATTGACTCACAGATAACATGTTAAAGTGAAAGTGAGGGACATAAACTAGATTGTAATGACATAGATTCAGTAGGATGGTGATCCTTAATCCCATGTAGTGGCCTAAAAGAACCATCAGCTAACACAATAGGAGAGTTAGAAGAAAAAAAATTAGAGAACAAGGAGGGAATACTAGAATATGGGCACTAGTTCCCAAGTCAATCATCCAAGATGGTGTAGGAGATTCGGTTGCCACATGAGCAAAATTACTTTTAGCTGCTAAATTGGCAGCTGAAGTAGGCAAATGGGGAGAGAGTGAAGACAACTGTTGAATGAGCCGGCTGAGCTGTGAAGTAAGATCATCATGAGAGCCATATGTAGATGTTGCGTGTCTACTAGTTGATGACTGAGATACAAAAGAAGTCGGGTCATCAAAAACCCGATTAGCACAGGTTGGTATTCCATGTCTATTCCAACAATAATATTCGGTATGCCTAGCAGCTCCACAATAAGAATATTTTCACTTGGAATGATTGTTACAACCACCAAGATTACCACCAGAGGCTAGATGACGACCACCACCACCACAACTATCACTACATCCACCTTGGGAAACACCATGACTGCCAACACTAGAGATTAAGGTAGAAGACTCTTGTGATGCCACGAGTAAGAGAAGCCTGTTGAAGGCGAGAATAAGTATTGGCAGCAGTTGGAAGTTTCTCACTACCCAAAATTTGATCTTTAAACACTCTATACTTAGAATTAAGGCTTGACAAGAATAATGCAATCTGAAATTCGTCATGTTGTCGCAGCTGAACCTCCTTATTTACACTCGGTGGCTAATACAACAGAAGCTCCTTCCACAGCCCTTTCAAGGTGCCATAATATTCAACCAGAGATTTGTTGCATTGCTTGGTAGTAAACATACGCTCCAAGAGTTCATAAATTTGAGACACGTTGTGTTCTTGAGAGTACAATTCCTTAAGAGAATCCCATATCTTCTTAGCTGTATCAACAAGCTGTACATTAGAAGTTACCATGGGCTTCATCCTAAGCCATAACCAAGTCATCACCAATGAATTCTCACTCCACCTATCTTCAGAATTTGTAAAATTCCTTAGCAAGGGGAACCTTAGTCAAATACTTAATTTTCTTTTTGGCACGCAGAAAAACTTTGATGGCATGGGACCAAGAGTGGTAGTTAGTCTCATTTAATTTGACAGAAGTAATTTGTCGAATTTGATCATCCACAAAATGAACATGTCTAGCTTGATCACCCACCAAGGTATTCTTCATATCTTCTGGAGTTGCCATTGGAGATATCACAATCAACGAGCCAATAGAAGACAGTTAAATAAACTGAAATTCCACAAACAACCACAATCACAATCAACCAAAACCACAACTCCACAAAAAAAACACCAAAAACACAGCCACGGGTAGCGGATCAACCAACTTTTGCCCAAAAAAATCAAGACAAATTACCCACAACCCAAATCTGCCCACAACACACGAGCCAGAAGGCACCAAGAAACAATGTCAGAATGGTGACTGCAGGTGGGAAAAGTCACTGTCGATAGCATATGGGTTAAAAAAAACATAAAAAAAAACCCAAAATCTGACCAGCAACTCCAAGACACCCTCCAATATGCTAGTCGCACCCCTTTGATAGGATTTGAAGTATCAAAAACAATCACAAAAGCTGAAATCAATAGATCTGAAATTCGGACCATATTTTCACGAAAATCATTCAAAAATTGCAAATCCTAGTCAGATGACTTAAAAAAGAATCGAAAAAATCACCACAATTACCAACACCAAATTTTGAGCCAAAATGTGTACTCCAGCGATCGGAAAGTGTTCATGTCAGCGTGATGTCAGCGGTTGACGATGATATCAGCATTGGGAAAGAAAATCTGAGCCTCCTCTCTGAAGATATTTGGTCACAAACTATGTTTTTTGATGATATTTGGTCACGAATTGTCGCACTGATACCAAGTTAAAATCGTAAGAGAATTAGGGTTTGGAAAGGAGAAAGAAGAGAAGAGGAAAGAGAGAGAAAGGGAATAATCTGTGTATGGGCTAGGTTGCCCTAAACTTTCTTATTTATAACTGAGTATAATTGGGGTAATTATATTATTACCCTACACTGAGTAACTTAAGTCTAATATAGAAAACAAGAACTCTAACATATTTAATTCTAGGAAATTGTCTCTATTTTATTCTAGCTCTTGGGTTGGCATAGAGTTTAACTTTTTTATAGCTGAAATCATTCTTGAGAAATATTCCCCATTCAGAAATGCAGACATTAATTGCTTTTGTGTTTGTCAATTCAGGGCCTTATACCGGGCGGTGCTTTGAAGCCCATTGATATTAATGCAGATACAACTTATGATGTGACTGAGCATTATTGGTTCCCAATGCTGGCTGGTTTATCTGACCTAACCTCTGATCCAAGACCTGAAGTCAGAAACTGTGCACTTGAGGTTTTGTTTGATTTGCTGAATGAAAGAGGTAGCAAGTTCTCATCCTCATTTTGGGAGAGTGTTTTCCATCGCGTCTTGTTTCCCATTTTTGATCATGTGAGACTTGCTGGAAAAGAGAACTTGATCTCTTCTGGTGATGAGTGGCTTCGTGAAACTAGCATTCATTCGCTTCAGCTGTTGTGTAACCTTTTCAACACTTTCTACAAGGTATCCACAATACTTGGTACTATCACAGATAGCGGTCATTGCTGTTGATCTTTTCCTGTCCACATGCTGGGGTTATGGTCTCTTTGTTTCTTTTACATACATTTCAGAAATCTGTGCATTTTTTTACCACACCCTGATATTGGTTCCTGTTCTTCTACTCTTTGCAAACTAAACTAAATTGTGTAAAAAAAACACAGCGCCGTGTATGCCTATTTGTTTTAATTTTCTTTTCCTCCTGCAAGGGTGAAGAATATTATACTAGGTTCACTGCCTGAATCTTTTTATGCCTTTCTAGTCTCTGTAATATTAATTTTCAATTATTGAACTTATTTTTCAATGGCATAACATAGATTTCTGTTCTCTTCATTGTAGTTATGTTATCTGTCTGTTTTGCTAATTTGATTTGAGCTACATGTTTTGACATGGCACATGGTGGTGGATCTGGCAACCCTAGGTGTTGGCATTGGGAGGGATCTGTTTGTGTGGCTTTGCTAATGTCTCTCTGCAATTTTGATTCCAACTGGTCATATGACCAAGGACTGATAAAATCAACGTAAATCTATAGAATCTTTTTTTTTTCTTTAATCATGTTGTAATACTATAGTACTATTTTTTTTTTGTAACTAAACCGCAGATCTGAGATGGCATTTTATGTTTGTTTTTTGTTTTGAACTTATAGTGCATGCCTGCGCATGCTAATACTGCTATGCTGGTGTAAGCTATCATTTTCCTTATCAACAGCTTAAATAACCAGAGTTATTATATAGAAAATAAATTGAGTTCACATCATGAGGAAATCACTAAGGTTTGAACCTGTTCATCCCATTTTTAGGTCCTAGTGTTCCTGGTGTCATGCCTATAATAAACTTTCTTCAAATATGAGAATATTTTATCAAGCAAAACTCCGTTAGAATCAGAAAGTGAATCATAAGATATAGAAGTTGAGGTAACAAGCTTATTACCAGAAATTGGGTAACATACCAATCTTGCAAAAGGATGTCTCGAGTTTTAGAAGTGCATGTTCTGAGTTGTCAGTACTAGGCAGATTTTCCTGATCGGTTGTTACTTTCACTAACAAAGTTATTGCTCCTCTCTTAGTGCTTCCTTGGAGTTATGCTTTGGTTTATTATCTGTCCATGTATGGCTCCAGAAGATTGCTGGTCTGTGTCAAGGTTCATGCAGTAACAATTGCACAATGTACTTAAACAAAAAAAGAAAAACAATTGGACAATGTGTTTCATTTTTATTATTTTCTTTTTGGTTAAAAAAAGTTATGTGGTGATGAGAACTTTTGAAAACCTTTTTTTTTTTAAGCAACGGAACATGTATCAGAAAATAAGAAAACGGTGGAGAAATAAGCAATGGAGGACAAAATATCCTACTACCTAGCTCATCAAAGCAAAAGAAGAAACTACAAAATGAAAAATCATAGATTTATAAATTCTTCAACTATGCATGCATGTTTTGACTTCTATAATATGAATAATTTTCTGGTTTAACTAACGTTCTTCTTTATTTCTAATTATAATCATGTAAGAGAAATGTCTTCTAAACTACTATAAGAATGAAATTATCTTTCTCATTCATGTAGGAGGTGTGTTTTATGCTTCCCCCACTACTCAGTTTACTGTTAGATTGTGCCAAAAAGACAGATCAATCAGTGGTTTCTATCTCTTTGGGTGCACTAGTGCATCTCATAGAGTTTGGAGGACACCAATTCAGTGACAGTGACTGGGATACCTTGTTGAGAAGCATAAGGTGCGTACTCCTTTTTTTCGTTTTTCCTTTTCAAACAGATCATAGGCTGCAAACCCTTTCTTATTTTGTTAAATCATGTAATTGTGATGTGATACACACGATTCTTTCTTTTCCGACCAGAGATGCTTCATATACGACACAGCCCCTTGAGCTGCTCAATTCTCTGGGTTTTGAGAACCATAAGCATCATAGAACGTTGGAAAGAAATTTGGAGGTCTCTACGGGTGATAGTCCTTCCCTAATGTGTGTTGATAGTAACAATGGGACCACATTTGCAATGGCATCTCCGAATACGGGTACTGATGGTAATACAAGGAATCATACTGCAACAGTCATGCTGGATCAAAATCATGAAATGGGGCTGCCCATGGATTTGGAACGATCTGAAGGTTGGCAGTTCGATGTTTTGTATCCAGACTTGTACACGTGAAATATTGCACTGGCAAATTTCAGTAACTGAGAATTGTCCGCCCTAGTCTTATTAATGAAAGCATTTGATAGAAAATCTGTTGAATGGTAAAATATCTCTTTCTGTAGGCTTACCATCGCCTTCTGGAAGAGCACAGAAACCTGGTGACACTGGAGGCCTCCAAAGGAATCAAACAATAGGTCGAAGAATCATGGGCAATATGATGGACAACCTCTTTGGCAGAAGTTTTACTAATAAGTCTAAAAACCATCTTTCAGATGTTTTAGTACCAACTTCTCCACCCAAGGTATTATGGCATTGAACTACTTTAGCTGATTGATTTTGGCATGGTGTACTAATTGCTTTAATTATCATTGCTAGTACATTTTGCACTATTCAGAGTGATCAACTCTTTTGGTAGCCTATTTAGTCAATCTTAAGAATAAACATCAAAATTTTTTCCGTTTTCTTTGTCGCTGTTGTTTTGATTGGATGGGAGCCAAAAAATATGCTATTACATTTTAAACATTAACAGAAAAGCCATATTTTTTTATTAGTAATTAGGTGTTCTAGGGAAAATTGAGCCTCACAAAAGAAAAAAAAGGCAGTTGAACTCTTTTCTTCTTCTTCGTCTTCCTCCTAATAAACTAACATCTAGTAAAAGCATCGAGGAGCCAGGAGCAAATCAAAACAAAGACTAGGGATAGCAAAACCCTAACAAACCTTACAATAAAGAAAGTATAGACTGTACGCACATTCCCTTGAACATCAACAAAACAATCCAATGAGAATGAAGAGCCCCTACAAAGCCAGAACCAAGGTTTTTCATATCGGTATTCTACATTGGATCAATTGGGGAGGTTAAAGGATCAAAATTGTAACATAGAATTGGGAATCTTAAGATCGTACAAACCGAAAAAAATGGATCTAAAACCATGCATAACAGTACATAATTCTTAACAAACGTAAGTTAAAAATCTAACATATATACAAAATGTAGAGGTGTTATTTCAAACATCTAAAACTTAGACATATGACTAGAGTTTGAGAAACTACATTTTGAGTGTTAAAAGAGAGTAGAAAACCCGAGGTTGATTGTTAATCTTATGTGAGAAGAATATTGAGTGTTTTGATTATAACTTAGAGAGAGAATATGACGGACGAGAGATTGGAGAGTTGAGAGTCTATTCAATAAACAGCTATGGCTCTTCGACATTCAAAAAGAAAGAAAACACGGGAGACTGAAGATAGAAGACATACTTTATTGTGATCACTAGTCTCAAGAGAAAAGAACAAACCAAACCATTGTTTTCAACTTTTCAACTCGATACATAACAAATGAAGTGCGCTTGCTAGACTTTTGTATACCTGGGGAAGTATAATTAATAACCTAATAAGCGTCTGAGACATTCACACATAGTTAGATCTTTAAGTGTTAAAGTACAAAATGGATTGGGCAAACTAAAAAATTAAAGGAATTGAAGGAATAAATCCTGTAACTTGGATCGGCAAAACTATAATTGGGTTCGAGGTCCTATGGACTACATGATCCAAATCTTGATCAATTAAGATTCTACGAATCAATGATTTTTCAGGAGACTTAGATCAGTTTACCAGTATTAGATTGTAGAATTGTAAGACTAGGGTCGAGATTTTAATAAGCATGGCCAAAACTAAAGGGATCTGGGAAACAAACAAAGAAAAAGTTTTGAGCTCCAAAATCGTCATGTCGGTGCCTCCTAGATCTCACTTGTTGTGCTCCAACAAAGCACACCATCAAAGGCATAGTGGCTATCATGTATACCTTTGTCTATTTCCTTACCCAACTACCATCCAGCCTCCCAAAAGCCCCACCACCTCTATGGTCAGTATTGGATGATTTTAAACTCCTTTCCAATGTGTTATCATCGAATGCACCAACTAAGCACACCACCAAAGGCATAATGGCTATCATCCATGATTCTTTCCACCTCCCAAAAGCTCGATCACCTATATGGTTATCATTGGATGATTTTAAACTCCTTTGAAATGCTTCATCATATGAAGCCCTTTTGAAGTTTTCAAAGCTTATCTTTGTTGATGTTGGAATCATAATTATTAGTATCTTATGATGCGCAATACGTATCATACGATACGTCACGATATATTTGAAAAACAATACATATTGTATCTTTGCATCATTTTTGCACCGTATCTTACAATACACGATATAATACAATATGATACGTCTGATACATGAAGATTTTGTTTTTTTATTTTTATTTTTTATTTTTGGTTTTTTGGGGTTGAAATGATATCGTTTCACAATAGGACTTATTTTTAAATTATTAGCAAGTGAAACGTCGTGATTTAAAAAGAAAAATGGAGTCTGCTGTTAATGTTGTTCAATTGAATTTAAAATTCTTGATTAATATTAAAGCTGTTCAAGTAGTTGATGTTAGAAGTTTGAATTAGAGGTCTTTGCATTTTGATATTATTGAACTATATTCGGAACTTGAATAGTTAGAATATTAATGAAATCTTATGTTATTATAAGTCTGACTTTTTTACAAAGGTGTATATATATTTTATTAATAATTATTTAAAATTATGCTTATCTTACGATACACGATACAATACAATACCCAATTTTTAAAAAATGATATGCCTTCCAATATACGATATGATAACTATGGCTGGAATAGAGAAAATAGAAACAAATTATTTCACAAGATCAAGATGGGTGCTTGTTAATATCAACTTCCCCTTCGACCGGAACCTACTATTTTAGCTTGTTGCTTTTTTGCACACAAAAAGAACACAAAGTCGGTCTAGATGAGTGCATGAGCTTAAATGACAGGCAAGCATTTATCTCCCTAACTTTTGCATTCAGAATAATGCCACTCTTGCATAATTTAGGGGTTATTTGGTAATGTTTTTATTTTCGTGTTTTAAAAAAAAATAAAAAAATAGAGACAATTCTTGTTTTGTTTTGTGGTAAACATTAAAAATAGAAAACATGCTTGTGAGTCATTTGTGTTTACTTTTTTATGAAAATAAAAACAAAAAACATGTTTGGTAACCACTTTAAGTTATACTGCAAACAAATTTTCAATTATACTAACAATGACCCAACCACTACGCATAAACATACTAATTATTCACTAATGCAACAATTGAATATTCTCTATACATATATTCAAGTCAACATGAATTTCAACATATACAACATATATGAATTTCAAAAAAAATAAAAAATTTAAGAATTATTTTTTTAAAACATTAGTCAAAATATACTAAAATATTTTGAAATATTCTAAAATAATTGTGTAAATGTATTGAAATATAACAAAACATTTCAAAATATTATGGAATACATCAAAGTATTGGGGTCTGTTTAGTTTACATCTCAAAAAATAGTATTCGAAAACTATTTTTAAGAAGAATTTTATGAAAGTGTTTTTAAAAATTTTTAAATTACAAAACAGGGTTATATATTTTTGAAAGAGGTTTTAAAGAACAAAAATTATAAAATCTGTTTGGACAATAATCACAATTCTCACCTTTCTTTCTTTCCCTCCTCTGTGTCTCCACAAAACACACACACACGTACACATACACAGAGAGGCATTCACACNCGGAACTTGAATAGTTAGAATATTAATGAAATCTTATGTTATTATAAGTCTGACTTTTTTACAAAGGTGTATATATATTTTATTAATAATTATTTAAAATTATGCTTATCTTACGATACACGATACAATACAATACCCAATTTTTAAAAAATGATATGCCTTCCAATATACGATATGATAACTATGGCTGGAATAGAGAAAATAGAAACAAATTATTTCACAAGATCAAGATGGGTGCTTGTTAATATCAACTTCCCCTTCGACCGGAACCTACTATTTTAGCTTGTTGCTTTTTTGCACACAAAAAGAACACAAAGTCGGTCTAGATGAGTGCATGAGCTTAAATGACAGGCAAGCATTTATCTCCCTAACTTTTGCATTCAGAATAATGCCACTCTTGCATAATTTAGGGGTTATTTGGTAATGTTTTTATTTTCGTGTTTTAAAAAAAAATAAAAAAATAGAGACAATTCTTGTTTTGTTTTGTGGTAAACATTAAAAATAGAAAACATGCTTGTGAGTCATTTGTGTTTACTTTTTTATGAAAATAAAAACAAAAAACATGTTTGGTAACCACTTTAAGTTATACTGCAAACAAATTTTCAATTATACTAACAATGACCCAACCACTACGCATAAACATACTAATTATTCACTAATGCAACAATTGAATATTCTCTATACATATATTCAAGTCAACATGAATTTCAACATATACAACATATATGAATTTCAAAAAAAATAAAAAATTTAAGAATTATTTTTTTAAAACATTAGTCAAAATATACTAAAATATTTTGAAATATTCTAAAATAATTGTGTAAATGTATTGAAATATAACAAAACATTTCAAAATATTATGGAATACATCAAAGTATTGGGGTCTGTTTAGTTTACATCTCAAAAAATAGTATTCGAAAACTATTTTTAAGAAGAATTTTATGAAAGTGTTTTTAAAAATTTTTAAATTACAAAACAGGGTTATATATTTTTGAAAGAGGTTTTAAAGAACAAAAATTATAAAATCTGTTTGGACAATAATCACAATTCTCACCTTTCTTTCTTTCCCTCCTCTGTGTCTCCACAAAACACACACACACGTACACATACACAGAGAGGCATTCACACAAAAAAAACACACGCAGAAACACACATAACAGACGCACATAGATCTATGTATAGAGAGAGAGAGAGAGAGAGAGAGGAGGGGCAGATCTGAAGCTTCTTCTGTGGTGAAAAAGACATTGGAGAAGATCTGAAGCTTCCTCCGTGCTCCTTCTGTCTGAGAGGCAAAGTGGAGAGACAGAGCTAGAGAAGATGGCCTCTATGTGTGTTTGTTCTGTTTGATGGGCAAAGTGGAGAGAGACAAGAAAAAAAAAAAAAAAAGAAAAAAGCCTTGCTGCTAAAGGGACTCGAAGGGCAGACCTCATTAAAGAGGTTTGTTCTCTGTGTTACCAAAGTTTTCAAAGAAAAGTTTGAAAACAAGTGTGGCTTGTTTTTTATTTCTTTGTTTCAAATCTCATTTTTTTCTAAAAATTTGAGAATAAAAATACTAACCAAACATGTTTTGAGTGTTTTTGAAATTTTGAGAACAAAAAACAGTTTTGTAGATTCAAACCAAACACCCCCTTAGAATTTCGATTTTATCTCTGATTCATTTCAGTCTCTTTGAAAACGGAAACGTTTCGGATGTTTCGATCGTTTCGAAACGATATTTTAATCTTTGATACCCACACAAGCATGCATAGTCAACACACCCACACACTCAGCACACACCAACACACCCATATACACTCAGCACACACACACACACGTAGGACACACCCCACACGCACCTAGCACACACACCTACACACACAAACTGAGCCACTTTCATATAACCGAAAACCATTGCATTCCATGAAACTATGTCTCTTTGAGGCATTTGATCAAACACTTATTAGCATATTCTGAAAGTGTCTGGAGGCTTTGTTAAGAAAAAGAGAGGCTTTGGTAAAAAAAGAGAAAGAGCTTATGAAAATGTGTAGGTTTTTCACTCAATCCATACCGTATTGAAACCATAGAAAAAAAAATACTTTAAATCTACTACAACTCAAATGATATTTTGTAAAAAAAAATAAAAATAATTTCATGGAAACAAAAACACAGATACACACACTTGCACTCACACACTTGCACTCACACACAGACACACTCAAGCACATACACACAAACACACACATACACACAAACAAAAACATAGATCTAAGTTATATGTACATAGATCTATGTATATTATGTATATATATACGTAGATTGTTCATGCTGGCAGCACCGATCATCGTTCAAGAAGGTAGCAACAACTTGTGAGGATGGGAGGAGCTTCGGTTCGTCTTCCAGAAGACATAGAGGTTGCTTGGTTCCTCTTTGAAGACACAGAGAGAGACGATGTGAGGATGGTAGACTGATTGAAAAAATGACCAAAAGCCCCAACTATTTATGCTTCCATAAAAATATACATCTTTTGTTGCTAATAGAGATCGAATTTGAGACATCAATAAATCCTTTCAGCCCACCGAACGCATGTTTCGTGCTTTGGTTGTTTCCTGAAACATGATTTTTTTATTCCCATTTTTTAGCTTATTTCTAAGACAACTTAAATGAAACAAAAAACAAGAACAATTACCAAATACGTTTTTGTTTGTTTTTTTGACAAAAACTCAACAAAAACATAAAATAGCAAACAACAACCTCTAAGTTACAAGCTTGAAATTGCGTCAAAAGATAGAAGAATTTACCTGAACTCTCAAGTGCCCAAGTTGAGAGTTCACACTTAACCCTTCTAATCTAAGGTTGTCAAAAGTTGTATCGGAACAAGTATAATTTTTTAAAAATAGTGTATCGTACATAACGTATCGTGTATTGTAACATACACTCAATTTAAATTTTTATATATACACACAAACGTACCTAAAAAAATGAAAAGATGTTAGTGTCTGAAGTAATATAGTGTACTCATCATTTCGTGCGATGCATTTGTCCAATAGAGATCAAATGAGAGAATTGTTTGTCTCCACAACAGAGATCAATATATAGTTAAGTGTTTTGTTTGTTTGAATGAAAAGAATAAAAATAAGATGCAGAAGAAACAAAAGAGGGTATCATGAGAATATGATCGAGTATTTTTTTTGTTCGAGATCAAACCAAAAAAGAAAAAAATAACAGAGAAACAATGCTGTTTCACTGTTTAAGGTCAAAAATCTGGTGAAACAATGTCGTTTTAATATTGTACAAATTATTTTTTCATTGTATTGAAACATATCGTAAGATCGTATTGCGTATTATGATATGCGTCACTCGGATAGTGTATTTAGACATATCGTAAGATATCTATTGTGGATTGTAAGATATTGACAACTATGTTTCAATCTTTAAACCTTTTGAGCATACCTCTCCTTGCTTTGTGAAGTTTATCATACTGGGAATTGCTCTAAGTTTTTCCTTGTGTTGAATTTGTTTGTAGTGGTTTAAGGCTAAGAGAAGTTTGTATAGTTGACGTTGTATAGTGTTGAGCAAAGCTTGATAGGTTTTGGTAGTTAGGAGGAGTTGCAACCGGATTGCTAGAAATTGATAACTAGCTAGAATCACTGGTAATTATTTGTTGGAAATTTTAAACGACAACCAACTGTGATGTTTTGTGCTATAAAGTAAATATATTATTTGGGAAAGGACTAAGGTGTATTAGAAATTGATGAGATCGAGTTTGGAAAATAAAACTGGATTCTCCAAAGTGTGTGGCAAGTACATCATGGAGAGGGCTTTAAGAGGTGGAGAGGAGAAGAGGAAGCCTAGAATGAGTGGTCACAGTTCACCATTGCAAGGAATTGGTAGAATTGTAAAAACAAATTCTCAAATTCTCATTATTTGCTCCCTCGCCAAACAAACGTTCCCATCATATTTTATAGAGGGTTAGTGTCGGAATATATGAGAAACTTGAATGATGGGAATTATTATAGTTTTTCTTATATATCTAATTATTTAAATAGAGAGTAGGGTTAAGTGTGAACTCTCAAATTTCAAGTTCGACCTTGCATTATTTATATCAAATATGTTCTATTATTTTAAGAAAATTCATCTTTTCCTATTATTCTTTTTTGTTCTACACAACCCGTAAAAACTATAACCTTAGGTGTGTAACTATTCGAAAATTTGACACCGACTCCGAATTCGGACTGACTCTGCCGTAGTTTGCCAGAGTCGGAGTAAAATGTCAGTATTCCAGTGGAGTCGGAGTTTGAAATCCTTTTCGAAAAAACTCCGACTCCAACTTTTATTTAAAAATAATTTTATATAAAAGATAGTTTATATAATGAATTATAAAATTAGTTTTAGACATGGACTTTTCATTATCATCCTATTTGGTTTTTATTCTTTTTTGGTCTAATTCCTTTTTCTTATTTCTTTCTTTCTAATTCCTTTTTCCTTTTTTCTAATTCCTCTATTCTCCATTCCCCTTTCTCTCTCTTTATTTTCTCCGTCTCTCGCTCTTACTTCTGCCTCCCTCTTTTCTCCGTTCCTCTCTCTGTCTCTCTATCTCTCACTTCTTTGATGGCGAAGAACTCACCAGTGAAATCAATGGTAAAACTCAAATCTAAGTTATCTGATCTCAGTGAAAAACTCAGAGATCTCAAATCTCAAGCGATGGAGGAGGTGTAAATCTCAGATCTAAGAATTCATTCAGCTAGTAATTCTCTCTCTCTCTCTCTCTCTGTGTGTGTGATGGTATTTGTATATTTTTGATTGTATTTTTTTTTTGGGTTGTACACATTTTTGACATGCTGCTCCGTCTTTACTCCGTCTCCGACAAGGCAGAGTTGGGACCGGAGTTACAGTCATTCAGAGTCGGAGGAAAAAATTTACTCTAATTGAAGTTGGTGTTGGAGGTCGGATGTGTGCTATTCAACTTCGTCAGAGTCGGAGACCAAGCCTAACCTTTATATTTCAACTTGGTATCAAAGTATCGATCAAGGTTGGAATTTTTTCAAAAACACACCAAAGGGTGTTGGAAAAAATAGGGCACAATTGCGGTGTTCATATGATTACACATTCAACGGAAGGAATGATTAATCTCCAACTTGTGAGTTGGACAAGGAGAAACATGGTGCAAGGATAAAGGAGATGTTGACTTACTTGATGAGAAAAAAAGGGCAAAACTGTTGATCCCTCTCTTGCTTATTATTGATTGGACCTTATTAGTGTTTCTTTTTCTCCCATAGCTCATTGTATCCTATTTGTTCTAGATGACACTGACCTTCTAATTGCAATTCAGAAGTGTGTTCGACCTTGCACTCAACATCTGATTTCAAATTTCGTGTCTTATCAGTCACTTTCTCCATCCTACTGTACTTTTGTATCTTTTCTTTCTTCTACCTATGTTCCATAGCGTTGGAAAGATGCCTTAAGAGATTTTGATCGGAAGGTAACTATGGTAGAAGATATTATAGCTCTTTAGAATAATAACATATGTAATCTTGTAGCACTTCCCGAGGGAAAAGAACATATGGGTTTAAATTGGTATTAACGTTAAAAATGAGTGGATGGACCAATATGGAGGTATAAAGCTAGATTGGTGGCCCAGTGTTTTAGTGAGACCTGTGGCACTGGTTATCTAGAAACATTTGTACTAGTGGCTATGATGAAATCCTTAGAATGTTGCTCTTCTTGGCAGCAAATTTGAAACGGTCTCTTCAACAACTCAGTGTGAAAAATGTAGTTCTTCATGGTGATTTGGAAGAGGTGTATATGGAGGCTCCTCTTGGTTTTCCATCCCCACAGGGAAGGTTTGTAAGTTAAAAAAGTCTTTATGGTTTGCAACAATCTCCTTGATCAAACGAAAGCAAGGGAATTGTTATGGGTTAGAGTGTAAGCTCTTGGCTTCTCTTTGGCCTGTGGTCCGATGCTTTGTTTTATTTTTTTTATTTTTGCTTTTCTTGATGGATTTCTTATATGCCATTTATGTACATTTGCATCTAACTATGAAATGAAAGTTTTGTTTCCTATTAAAAAATGTAAGCAAGAGAATGCTATTATGTTATAGTATATGACATATGTAGATAATATTGCCATTACTGGTACTGTTATTGAAGAAGTCAAGCTTGGAAGTGTTTTTGACGGAGAATTTAAGAGAATATGAAATATTTCCTTTGAATAGATGTTGAAATATATATATAGAAAAAAAGAATCTTTATGTCTTAGTGGAATTATGTCTTAGACTTGTTAAAGGGTACAATGATGCTTGGTTGCAAACCTTGTGACATCCCATTGAGTCACATCATGGGCATGGTAAGAATAATGATGATACAATTGTACACAAGTAGATCTGTCTTTCTAGTACCAGACTAGATATTGTCTACGTTGTAAGCATGATGTGCAATTTGTGTATTCTCCATGATTGTCTCGTTTAGAGGCCATCTAGGAAACAAGGATATGGATACTAAGCTATGAATAAGACACGATACAGGTACAATGATATGGCAAAATTTAAAAAATTAGGATACAAATATATACAAAATATGTGCATAATAACATATATTTTATATTTTTGCTACTATATGACTACCTTATAATTATATTTTTCTAATAAAAATCTTTATTATTTTGTAGAAAATAGTAATTTTTAATTTCAATAAAGTATTGATTGTCTCATTATGGTATATCAAAAAATGAACATACTAATTAAAAAAAACAGAACCAATATCTAATTAGGTTGTTTGTTTAAAAATTTGTGTTGCCAAGAGATATGGTGTAAGTGTAATTAGCATATTTTCTACTCTTTTGACATATGATAGTAGGTTGTACTTAAGAAACACACTTGTCTTCATATTCGTATGGATTTTCTTTATTTGCTGTATTGTATGTGAATTCAAGGGGAAACGACAAAGATTAAAATTAAAAATTATATATATTTTTCTAACATTGCATTTTCCTCTCTAAAGCGTATGTATTGTGAATACGTAACGACAAAGTATCCAATATGATATCCTATACGGAATCATTGACTTTAACAAAGTATCAGTTCTTCACATAAAGTCAGCATTTGGGAGATGTTTTGGATTAGTCATGGATAGACAACCTACTTCTGGGTATTGTACCTTTGTTTGCGGCAACTTAGTTACCTGGTGTAATAAGAAATAGACAATTGTTGCAAAGATCCAGAGGTGAGTTTGAGTTTAGAGCTATGACATATGGGGTGTGTGAGCTTTTCTGGCGACAAATTATGATGATGAAGTTTGGTGTTGACTCATGTAGCCTAATGAGACTTTAACAAGAAGTAATCATTAATATTGCACATGGCCCAATTCAACACAATCAAACTGAACATATTGAGGCTGATAGGCAATTTTTTTTTTTTTTTGATACAAGACAAGACTTTAACTGCATTAAAAATAGAGAACAAAGAGAAAAAATGAAAATGTAATAAAGATCAATCGATTAGAAATGGCATTCCAATTATATTGTAATAACAAAAGAGGAATATCAGGAAACTCCTTTGTTACTGCCACCCAGACACTCCATTTTGTCCCACAAAAGCTCCACCTCCACCTCTTCATCATTGCCTTAACAATTCTAATATTCATTTCCATCCCCACCACTTGAAATAGAGAAGCTAAGTTTGGGCCTTATTGGGTATACCTTTTGTGAAGAGTGGGGGACAACTGGCTGATGTTTTGAGTAAATGAGTAAGGCGTCTCGCAATATTTTAGGCAAGTTGGGCATGTGTAATATCTATGCACTAGGTTGGGAGGGTGTTTAAATTTCTGAAAAATCTGAATGATTCTCATTCTCATGATTTGCTTGTTGTACCAAAAAATATTGATACAGAGGAGTGTAGGACTGAATTAGTTCATTCTGCTCTTTTTAAAAAAAGCCACTCTTGCTATTCTTATTTTCTCTTGCACACAAACCCAAAAAACTATGACATTCACATTCCAACTGTTAGGACTTTGGGGCAAGAAGAACTCGGTGGCCTGGTTGTCTTGGTCTCGTAGTTTCACTAGTGGAATTTGAATTTTTTTCAAATTTGGGCTTGGGCTTCATTTCCTGTTTAGAATTGTCAAACCATGTGAAAATCTCTATGCAAGACTACTAACAAAAACACCAAATTAACCTATTCCGCAATCCCTGTTCTAAAGGTTGAAGTTACCCAAGTACTCTTAGTTGGAAACACAATTCTGTGCATTTGTGTGCATGCATGCTTGTTTGTGTGTGCGATTGAGTGTTGACTCTATTTCTGAAAAGGAATAACCACTATAAACCTCTTATTATATGGAAATGCTGGTGGCATATTCTTTATTTCATTATTATGGAAGTGTTCTCATTGCGTTTTTTAATTGTTGTGGTTCATGCATTGGATGCAGATCTTTAATCCGTACCGAGTCTTATTACTTGAGAAATTTGAATCAATTTAGTTTTTGTACTTTCTTCTCTTCTGTGTTTCTAGTTTCCTGATGACATTGAGCATGATGCAAAAAATGAGGAAGAAAGTCCATTGTTTGAAACCATTCGGAGCAAATGCATCACACAATTGTTACTTCTAGGTGCCATTGATAGTATCCAGGTATGATACTGATTTTTGCAGTTTTTCTGCTTGTAATTAATTTCTCTTCTCAGAATTTTTACTCTATTTCCCCAAATACCTTATGACCATTAATATGCAAATCATGAGTTTCTTGTCATTTCAGAACTGATGGAGCTCCAAACTTAACTTCTAATTTATATCCACTTTAAAGGCCTGTGGCAAGAGTGCTGCAGCATGCCAAGGCATCTACGGATTTCCCTGGATGTTTTTGTTCAAATAAATGATATATCATCTTTCTGTGTGGCGTGTTTGAGCTGACAGAATGCTAGTATCAATAGCCATAGAATAATTTAGACAATCTCTGTGTGTGTGTGTGGGTGTGAACATAATTGAAAAAATTACAAAGCCTGTGGGAGAGAAGAGGGGTGGGAGGAGTTACCAATGCGTCAAACGGATGGTGCAAGTGTTAGAAATCGCTCTTTGTTGTGGTGTTGTGATTAAGGAGAAGGAAAAAGAGGGAATAAAAAGAGATTTTCCATTGACATCTTTTGAACATGCAGAAAAGGAAGAAGAGAAAAATGTAACAGAATTTAATGTGATGTGTTCTGAACATGCAGAAGAAATACTGGAACAAGTTGAATGCACCACAAAAGATTAGCATAATGGACATTTTGTTCTCTGTATTAGAGTTTGCTGCAACATATAATTCATATACCAACCTCAGATTGCGAATGCACTCCATTCCTGTTGAAAGGTAGGCTACATGTGATTTTGAATCCCTATCCTTTACTTCTTTGCTAGCCTTTGAATTCATATTTTTAAACTGCAAGAACCTTGATCATTATTAATTATATCCTTGGACAGGCCACCGTTGAATCTTCTCCGCCAGGAAATAGTTGGGACTTGTGTTTATTTGGATGTCTTACAGAAAACAACTGCAGGAGTTGATCCCTGCAGAGAGGACTCACTTCAAACAAATGTTCCACGGGATGTAGATAATGCAACTCTCACTGAACATAATGAAGACCAAAAGCTTCAAGGAATAGCAGAAGAAAAACTAGTATCTTTTTGTGGGCAGATACTGAGGGAGGCATCTGATTTTCAGTTCAGTGTGGGGGAGACAACTAATATGGATATACATCGAGTTCTAGAATTGCGCTCTCCAATCATTGTTAAGGTATGAAATATAGGATATGAGTGGTTTTTGAGTTTCTGGTATGTTACAGACAACCTTGTGTCGATTTGATATTGTTCTTTACCATGTAAATTATTACAACCTAAAGAAATATAGCACTTTCTTTTTCTCTCAAGAAACTAGAAATAAGAAATTGAAGGAAAAGGTCAAGAAATCAACGCAGGGCTCTTGCATAAGAGAAAATACATTTTTTACCCCTTTCCACCCGTGGCCAAAAAAAAGAATCAATCTGATTTATCTATACTGCAGAACAAACTCGGCTCTTTTTTTTTTTAATCAAGAGAAACTGGCGCCATGATCCGATAGTTTGAAATCACACCCAACCTCTGCCATGTACGAGTAACAATGGGTTGGATTCCACTCTGTAAAACTTGTTGAGAGCATCACCCTAGCTATGGTGCATCTCTATTGGAGATGTTTCTGTTACCTACCTGTTTAAACAGATCAAATTTTTATTTTCTGAATGGCCTCTAGAAATTCTTCCAATTTCTGTCTTAGCAGTTTCCAAGAATGCAGTTCAACCACCAATGCCTGATGGAACTCGTTTTATAAGCCCTGAGGTTCCTATTAGAAAGATGAGAATTAGGCTGTGATTAAGAACCCTGCATGCGTACATGGATGAACACGTGCTTCTTACTATGTTGCATCTTGGCCTTCTCTTTAGAGTTATTCTACAATCTTATACTTGCAGTTATTTTAATTATAGTAGTCCACTCCCTCTTAGATCCCACAGTGACCGGAGCTTTGTGTACTGGGTTGTCTTTTTTTAATGTTTGTCTATGTCTGATGAGGAATGTCTGCTTGTCAATACTAGGACTTTTCATGCTTTTGGTTCTACAAAATAATGTTCCTTTTTTCCTTTCTTCAAAGGCGCATCAACTTCTGCCATTCCATTTTTGGCCCTGGCGTTTGCATATTCAATATTACTGAGAACCTGTTCTCCTTCCTTCTCTGTCTTCACTGACTCTGACAAATTACCGTTTAAGGAAGCTATGTCGCATTTTTTTTTTGTGTACAATTGTACTTGTAGGATTATCATTTTCAGGTTCATATGTGACCCTCTTTATTATCATGAAAAGGAGCAATAAACTCATATTTGTTGGGTTTTCAGGTGCTTAAAGGCATGTGCTTTATGAATACCCAGATATTCAGAAAACACTTGATGGAGTTCTATCCTTCGATTACTAAACTTGTTTGCTGTGACCAGGTAATATATCAACTGCCAAATATATACTACATTTGATATTTGCTACTTCATCGTTTGCAAAACACTCTTTCATCCTTGTTGCTTGCTTGTCTTGTCTTGTCTTGTTTTTTTTTTTTGTAATGTAGGGTTAGGACAAGAATTTTTTAGGATAAATTACAGACAAAAACCCCTTGTAGAATGCCTATATATAGGGACACCCTGCGATTTTATGAAAATACACTGATACTCCCGTTGGTTTTTGTCAAGTAAAAGATATATTGGAATTCTCCATTGTGCAATTTTTTCCACACCTTTTTGTGGTCAACAGTACTTGTTAATTTTCTTAATAAGTAAACATAAAACAAAATTTATAAACAATAAGAAAATTGTTTTTATTTGTTTTTTTAGTAGGTATGTTATTTACTTCGTTTTTATTTGTTTTCACCCACTCCTGTGTCTTTGGCCTATCTTTTGGTGGTCTCCGATGTCTGTTTTGAACCAATTTCATTTACCATCAGAAGAACTTCTATCCATAAATGGAGGACCTATGAAGCAACTGCTATCAGTAAATATTTGTTTTGAAAGTATCATTATCTATTTGAAAGATTTGCATGAATACGTAGTGTAGTTCACATAATCTGACCAGATACGATAAAGGAAACGTTATTTAACAAGATATAGAAAATAAAATTATGGCAGGACAGGGTGAAATTTTTTAGCAGCTAAATTGGAGCAAAGCATTGTCCCATAGAAATTTTGCCTATCTGGTTAATTTCCTATGCATGACTAGTTAAGGCATAGGAAATAAAATTATGGCAGCACTGCTGGAATCTTTTAGCAGTTTTATTGGAGCTAAGCATTGTCACATTAGAAATTTTGCCTTCAAACTCATCATCTTTCCTTCTGTGAAAAAAGTAGAGTAATTAGCTCCACCACTACTGTTAGTGTAGCCATCCCTCGAACCATTTGCATTTACAAGATCACTCTCACCTGCACCATAAAAATGACCCACCACCACCAATCCACTATTGGCACCTTAATTTGAATATAACATCTAGCCTGCTGCATGCTGGCAGTTGCTAATAGCTACGGTATATCAGAAAGTAGCTGAAGCTTCTATATGTAGTGATTCAAATATTTCTTTCTGGACTAAATACACTTTTGGTCCCTAAAGTATGTGCTCTTTGTCAATTTGGTCCCTGAAATTTTAATTTTATCAATTTGATCTTTTCAATTTGTGTTTAATTACGACCAAAAAAAAAGTGTTTAATTGGTTCAATTTCCTACTGTTGTTTTTTAATGACCAATCCTTTTAAATTGATAGCAGATCTAGGCATGTGCTTATCACCATTTTCCCAGGGGTATATTTGGAAAAGGAGGAGGAAGGCTAATTTGGAAGATTTGTAGGGGCCATTCTAGGAAAATATCATGAATTCTACTCATTTTTTCTTTGCTATCTTCCCCTTTCTCTCTCTCTCTCTTTGCTACCATCATGGTCACCACACACACATGACCAACAAGTCACCAGCCACACGTGCCAGCTCTCTCTCTCTCTCTCTCCAACCTCCACCTCCAACTAAACACCAACCACGTCACAAACACAGTAACCGCCCATATTGCCACTCACCCTTCAACACAATCCCCACCGCATCATACATCTTCTTCCTCTCTCTCTCTCTCTCTCTCTCTCTTCACCCGCCACCTATAACTATAACTCACCAACACCACACCACCCTAACCACTACTCATACCCACCAAGAAAATCACCACCCAAAATTCATTCACCAATTTGATTAATTAACTACAAATCCGTGCAACACTCAACAAATTTGGACTGATAATTCAAACACAACAATTTTGGAGTCATAATTCAATGAATGAGAGAGAGAGAGAGAGAGAGAGAGAGAGAGAGAGAGAGAGAGAGAGAGAGAGAGAGAG